AAAAAAAAAAAAAAAAAAAAAAAAAACACACATACAGCGTCAAAAGAACTCTGCCAGTAATTGGAGATATTAGGTTCACATTCAGTTGGTTCTTTGAATACCCATTTATGGCACTTATCTGATGCAACCTTTCCCATTAACCTGCATCAGAGAAAATGAAATCACAAAACAAACAGAGACAAAGAAAGGGTTTTCCTTCCCATTTTCTATCCTATTTTCTACCAAATTTTCGAACAAGATTTCATTTTGAAGACTGAAAGAATTGAAATCAAAATAATTGCACCTACCCAGTACCCACCCTTCTCCATAATTATACAACTGAATGGACATTTTGCTGAATGCTTTCCTGACTGGATCTTCCCCATCAATCTCTTCCAAACAGTCCGCAACTCTTCCTCGGCAGAACCCATCTTCCCACATCAACATCCTTCATATGAAATTTGGAACAAAATCAGATACTTTCACCACAAAATTCACTAAATTAGTCGTTAAAAAGTCATCCAAATCACAAATTGGCAAGAATCCATATCAAATAATGAATCAGTAAGTCATATGCTCTGTTTTTCACTTCCCCTGCTTCTATTAGAAAACCATTAATGTACTAATGTGTTGCTTGGTTGCTGAGAAAATGCAAGGAGGTAAATAAAGAAGCAAAAAACGGGGTTTCCAAGTATCTATTTACTTAAAAAGTGTAAAAAGATTGTTAATTGGAAGACTCAAATCATGGGTTCTTTCTATCTTTCTCATTTTCCACTGTTTTCTCAACAACCAAACAGAAAGTTCGAAAAGACCATACTCACAAGCTACCGTTATCGTCTCCAACCTTGCAACCATTACCTCCCCTGACTCTCCTGCAACAGAAGAAAGAAACCCAATTCAGGAAAACAGCTCAAGAAGTTCAATAAGAGAGAGAAACAGAGGAAGTCGAAAACTTCAAGAGAAAGAGAATACATACGGGCGAGGACGGATAGTCCAGAAGACAGAGTAAGTCCAGTCTGAGTTGAGACAGACGCTTCTGAGGGCCTCATGAAGGGCCATCATCCCAACAGCTTCTTTGCTCCTATCTGCCGCTCCTGAGCCCACCATCTCTCTTTCCTTTCTCTCTCGAAAAAAGGCCTCTCCCCCCTCACTCTCTCTCTGTTTTTTTGTATATATATTGGCGTGTGACCGTGTCTCTGTAATGATATGATATGCCCTTCTTTTTTTTCTCTCTCTCTCTCAGACTCCCCAAGTGTTTCTATTTTTGCTTCTTTGAGACACTGATTCTTTGTGTGAGTTGTAACTGAGAGCTTATTTATGGCTCTGTTCCTTTTCCTCATTTTTTTATCTTCTTTGGCAGCTCTCTCTCTCTCTCTTCCCCAAGTGCTTGGCAACCAAAAATGCTCATCTTTTTCCTCCCTCTCTCTCTCTCTCTCTCAACTCTCAAACCCAAGAATTCTCCTTGGAATGATAAGGTGAGGGTGAGTCAATCTTTTTTAAAGATAGGAGTGTGTAAAAAAACATGGGGTGTCATTGTGATTTTTACCCATGGAAAAGAACAGTGGGGGACTGCGGACAGCTTTTATCTTGGGTTGGGAGGGGAAATTGAAGTGAGAAGGAGAGAAAATCACATTGTTGCCCTCTAGGATGCCTGGAATTTCTGGTGGAAGAATGAATTGAAGAAGTTTTAGGTAAACCTTGGATTGCTTTGGTCTTGACCTGCTTCTTGGGGTGCTATGTTATAGACATACTCATGGCATGTTTATCATAATGGTTCAAAGAACCAAAACCATACATGGGAAGGAACTTATTTCAACAACCCTTATGGTTTTTTATGTAGGATTGTTCCATTTCTTATTCTCCCTATGCCACTTTTTACTAGACACTACTTCAACATTTATATGTAATAAAAAAATTATTTAAAAGTGTGTAATAATAAGTAAAATAAGGAAGGTAAAGGAATGAGTCCAATGATTCGTTTCCATTCTTTAAATGTTTAGGTGCAATTGATTGGAAGTTTGACTTCTACTAACGAATTGAAAATTATATTCTCATTTCTCAAATTTCCTTATGTTTAAAATAATAATAAATAAAAATAAAAGAGGCGGAGAATAAGATATAGTTTGAAGAAAAAAAACCTACATGTTTTTGCAAAGAAAAAAAGTCCAAACATGTTTATTTCATTTCATGTGTGGAGCTAAAAGACTAGGCACAACGTATGACATAGAAAATTTGGCAAAAAGAGTTCTGGGCGACTGTTACTTGGCTGCAGTAAGGTTTTAAATTTTCTGGCATCAACTCATAATCAAGATTTCAATAAAGTTAGTTGATATTGATTGTTGGTTGGTTCCAGTTGTTGCAATTAAGCTTCTTCCCATTTATACAATAATCCTTTGCTATATATTGTTTGGTTGGGTATGAGATTAACTTAAGAACCTTAATTAATTGAGTTTTTGTGGGAAAATGTCTTGTCTTTGTCTTCAAACAAATTTGGTGTATCATTTTGCAATCAAATCTATCAAGATGTGAATGTCATGTTTTTACTCATAGTTAAAGTAAATGGTGCCATGATTAGATTTTGGAATTATGACGCTAAAGTCCAGTACTTGAGGACAAATTGAGGCCTTAAATCACTCACATCTGAAGAAAAAGAACTGACAATTTTTGAAAAAAATTATGACACAGAAACCACGATTTACACGCCCAAAACTACATTATGTTACGTGTTACATAATATAAGATGGTATTAAGAAAATAAATAAATATAAAATATTTAAAAAATATTTTTAAATAAAAAAATTGATTTTATATACATATCAACTATCATGTTAAATTGAGTATAATATTATGTAGTAAATATATATTCACGTAATTTTTTCCCTTTAGAGATCTTATTTTCTTCTTTAATTATATACAAATTGAAACATATATTTAGATTCTAATTCGATAAAAGATATGCAATCATGTAAACTAGCTTTTTCCCAACTCTTGCCTCTTTTGTATTAAAAAAAAATTTGGTTTGTAATATGATTAAGCATTTGATACTTTTATTATGAATCATAAGTAATGAATTAAGGACCTACCAATTAATCTTGTCGACGACATAAATAAGATGCCGATCCAGTAAGCTTGTTTTGGAGAGCAAGAGATCAACGAGACGTTGATTGAATGATATTATAGATTAATGAGGGAATAGCTGTAACACAAAATAAAGAGTAATATATCAATTGAAACTTATCTTAGTTCACATTTATGTACTAGTTTTTCATAACATTATAAGACAGCTTCAATCATAAGTCCATGACCATAACACAACACAATACTATCATATCATTGGTTTAACTAAAAAGAACTTAGTTTTTTTAAATAATAGTTTAAATTCAAATCTCATTTATAGAGATGTAAGCATTGGAAGAAATTTTTTTTTTATTACATTTAACACAATTTAATTTTAAATTAATCAAAATTTAATACAATTTTCACATACTAGAGTTTAAAAAATAAAGAAAGCACAACACAATGATTCTAATCAGAACTTCCCTTTATTCACATTTCACTCTATTTTTTCTTTATGTCTTCCCTCTGGTTTTTAAAATATTACTCACATCTTAAATAACAATTTTATGGAAATTACTACCTATTTCCCTCTTAAATATTAGAACTAGAAGTAATAAACACTGAAAAGTAAACATCTCACCAATGGTTATGGTTATAACTATTATTGATTTTTTTTAAGATCACCAAAAATGGTCAAAACTTTATTTTAATTTGATTATTAAAAATAATTAATATTTATCATTTAATAGATTGAAATTAGTAGCAAATATCATAACAATTTGTTTAAGAAAAAAATTATAAATTAATAAAATTACAGTTAAAATTAGTGATCTTAACAAAATTATTGGTGACTATAATCTCAATCCTCACCAACCATATCAACTCTTTTAAGAATAAATTTATCATTACAATCTATGGATGACTTACTTTTAACTAAATTAAGAAATAATTAATCTCAATGCATGCACAAATT